GACTTGTGACGACGACGACTGCTGCTGCTACTAATACTACAACTACACTACTACTACGGGGGCTACTACTACTACTACTACTACTATACTACTACTACTACTACTACTACTACTACTACTGTTACTACTACGACTACTACTACGGCTACTTACTACTACACAACTTACGACTACTACTACTACTAACTACTACGACGACGATACGATAACTACGACTACGACTACTACTACTACTACTACTACTACTACTACTACTACTACTACTACTACTACTACTACGGGGGCTACTACTATTTATGCCTCAGAAGCGCTGTGACGGAAACTCCTAGCTCAGAAACTCGAAGAGGAGGAGCAGGAGGAGGAGGAGGAGGAGGAAAGGGGGGAGGAGGAGGAGGAAGAGGAGGTTTTAAGACCAATCCTCCCTTAGGATGTACAGGGAGGGCTTTCGATCAGGGGTGGTGTGGACGTTTCCCCACAGGCGCCTGATCACTCGTGCAGTGGTTATGCCAATACCTCTGGCCAACTTAGCGTTCGACTTCATTAGCTGCACATCCGAAACATTCTCCAGGTAGCCTCCTCCTCCTATTCTCTTCTCCTCCTTCTCTATCCTCCCCCTCCCTCCTACATCCTTCTCCTCTTCACTGCTCCTCCTCCTCCTCCACCTCCTCCTCCTCCTCCACCGTCCTCCTCCTCCTCCTGCTCCTCCTCCTCCTCCTCCGTTCCTTGTCCTTATGGGAAACTTCTCCCTGTCGCACCCCGAGGCCAAGTTTTAGGGCGGGCCGGGCGTTTAGCCTGAGACTTCCTCCACATTTATGGCCCTGAAGCTTCAACATTGGCAACAGTTTCACAGATGGAGGTCGGGCCGTTTCACAATGTGGCTATCGTTTCAGCGCCAAAAACGTTCGGGATAAACATGTGCAAGGAATTTGCACATATTGAGGGCGACCCGTTTTCAAAATGTGGCTCTCGCCTGAGCGCCGCGCACATTCGGTATAAACATTTGCAAGGGTTTCGCGGATTGAGGGTGGGTCGTTTTCAAAATGCCGTAGCGCCGCGTACGCTCGGTTTAAACAAAATTCCAAGAACTTCACGGGATTGAAGGCGGATCCTTTTCAAAATGCGGCTCTCGCCTTCGCGCCGCGAGCATTCGTTATTAAGCTGTGAGTGCGTTTCGCGGATTCCCATGACCAGCGTACCAGACATGGCGTTTTTGATGGATTCAGGGTTCTCAGTGAGCAACCGTTTAACTTGATTCGCGGTGTTGAAGTCCCAGGAATGGCGTTCTGGCATGGTTCAGGATCGCCAAATCGCAACAGCCAGGTTGATCCGTGGCGTTGGAATCCCGCGAACACTGTTTTGGCATGCTTCAAGGTCTTTCAACGGTTGTCTTCCAACGAGGTAGTCCCCTCAGTGGACATGAACCGTGGTACGGGCCTGTGAACAGTGAGCGTGCAGGGTCGATGATGACTCTTGGGTTTACACTGGTCCTCCTCCTCCCTCCTCCCTCGTCTCACCTCTCTCTTCCCTCCTCCCTCCTCCCTCCTCCCTCCTCCCTCCTCCCTCCTCCTCCCTCCTCCTCCTCCTCCTCCTCCTCCGCCTCTTCCTCCTCCTCCTCCTCCTCTTCCTCCTCCTCCTCTTCCTCCTCCTCATCACTTCTCCCTGTCGCACCCTGAGGCCAGTCTTGAGGGCGGGACGGGCGATTCGCTTGAGACCTCCTCACCACTTATGACTCTGAAGCTTTAAACTCGGCCACAATTCCACAGATGGATAGCGGGTGGTTTTCAAAATGTGGCTCTCGCCTCAACGCCGCGCACACTCGTTTCAATCAACTGCAATAATTTAAATATAGATTATCCCGGCAAAGCAACCTAACAGCGATGTGTAGGAGCATATCTGGAAGCATTCCCCTTAAGATTCAGATGAGAATCCAGTTGTAGAATTATGCTGTTCTTGCAGTCGCAGTCGCATTCGCGATGACAGTCGCAGTGGCAACGGCAGTCGCAGTCACAGCCTCAGCCTCAGCCTGCCTCAGCATCAGCCTGCCTCAGCCTCAGCCTCAGCCTGCCTCGGCCTCATCCTCAGCCTGCTTCAGCCTCAGCCTCAGTCTGCCTTCAGCCTCGGCCTCAGCCTCAGCCTGCCTCAGCCTCAGCCTGCATCAGCCTCAGCCTCAGCCTCAGCCTGCCTCAGCATCAGCCTGCCTCAGCCTCAGCCTCAGCCTGCCTCAGCCTCAGCCTCAGCCTGCTTCAGCCTCAGCCTCAGTCTGCCTTCAGCCTCGGCCTCAGCCTCAGCCTGCCTCAGCCTCAGCCTGCATCAGCCTCAGCCTCAGCCTCAGCCTGCCTCAGCATCAGCCTGCCTCAGCCTCAGCCTCAGCCTGCCTGCCTCAGCCTCAGCCTCAGCCTGCTTCAGCCTCAGCCTCAGTCTTCCTTCAGCCTCGGCCTCAGCCTCCGCCTGCCTCAGCCTCAGCCTGCAGCCTCAGCCTCAGCCTCAGCCTGCCTCAGCATCAGCCTGCCTCAGCCTCAGCCTCAGCCTGCCTCAGCCTCAGCCTCGGCCTGCATCAGCCTCAGCCTCAGCCTGTTCAGCCTCAGCAGCCTCAGCCTCTGCCGCCTGCGGCCTCAACCTGGCCTCAGCCTCAGCCTGCTTCAGCCTCAGCATCAGCCTGCCTCCAGCCTCAGCCTCAGCCTGCTTCAGCCTCAGCCTCAGTCTGCCTTCAGCCTCGGCCTCAGCCTCAGCCTGCCTCAGCCTCAGCCTGCATCAGCCTCAGCCTTAGCCTCAGCCTGCATCAGCATCAGCCTGCCTCAGCCTCAGCCTCAGCCTGCCTCAGCCTCAGCCTCAGCCTGCTTCAGCCTCAGCCTCAGTCTGCCTTCAGCCTCGGCCTCAGCCTCAGCCTGCCTCAGCCTCAGCCTGCATCAGCCTCAGCCTCAGCCTCAGCCTGCCTCAGCCTCAGCCTGCCTCAGCCTCAGCCTCAGCCTGCCTCAGCCTCAGCCTCAGCCTGCTTCAGCCTCAGCCTCAGTCTGCCTTCAGCCTCGGCCTCAGCCTCAGCCTGCCTCAGGCCTCAGCCTGCATCAGCTTCAGCCTCAGCCTCAGCCTGCCTCAGCCTCAGCCTGCCTCAGCCTCAGCCTCAGCCTGCCTCAGCCTCAGCCTCAGCCTGCTTCAGCCTCAGCCTCAGTCTGCCTTCAGCCTCGGCCTCAGCCTCAGCCTGCCTCAGCCTCACCCTGCCTCAGCCTCAGCCTCAGCCTCAGCCTGCCTCAGCCTCAGCCTCAGTCTGCCTTCAGCCTCGGCCTCAGCCTCAGCCTGCCTCAGCCTCAGCCTGCATCAGCATCAGCCTCAGCCTCAGCCTCAGCCTGCCTCAGCATCAGCCTGCCTCAGCCTCAGCCTCAGCCTGCCTCAGCCTCAGCCTCAGCCTGCTTCAGCCTCAGCCTCAGTCTGCCTTCAGCCTCGGCCTCAGCCTCAGCCTGCCTCAGCCTCAGTCTGCATCAGCCTCAGCCTCAGCCTCAGCCTGCCTCAGCATCAGCCTGCCTCAGCCTCAGCCTCAGCCTGCCTCAGCCTCAGCCTCAGCCTGCTTCAGCCTCAGCCTCAGTCTGCCTTCAGCCTCGGCCTCAGCCTCAGCCTGCCTCAGCCTCAGCCTGCCTCAGCCTCAGCATCAGCCCTGCCTCAGCCTCACCTCAGCCGCTTCAGCCCAGCCTCAGCCTCCCTAGCATCAGCCTCAGCCTGCCATCAGCCTCAGCCTCAGCCTAAGCCTGGCCTCAGCATCAGCTGCCTCAGCCAGCCTCAGCCTGCCGCAGCCTCAGCCCAGCCTGCTTCAGCCTCAGACCTCAAGTCTGCTTCAGCCTCGCCCTCAGCTCAGCCTGCCCTCAGCCTCAGCTGCAGATCACCTCAGCCTCAGCCTCAGTCTGCCTCAGCCTCAGCCTCAGCCTGCCTCAGCCTCAGCCTTAGCCTGCTTCAGCCTCAGCCTCAGTCTGCCTTCAGCCTCGGCCTCAGCCTCAGCCTGCCTCAGCCTCAGCCTGCATCAACCTCAGCCTCAGCCTGCCTCAGCATTCAAAATGTGGCCCCGGGAATGGCCTACAGTTTGCTCCGGGCATTCGAAATCATGCCCAGGAATGGGGTTCTGGGACCTCGAAGACCACGAAGTGTGTAACTGTTTGCTTAAAACGACTTCCGCCGATTCTCCCCGGATCCTGCCCGGACCCCCCTGGGGAGTCATGATGCTCTCTTTTGAGACCACTAGAAACCTATCAGTCTTCGCTGTTAGGTAAAAATAGTCCGTTTTCAACATGTGACTCTCGCCTTTGCGCCGCGCACACTTTTGTTGCAAGACCTTCACGGGTTGAGGATTTTCTATTTTCAATATGCGGCTCTCGCCATAGCGTCACGCACACTCGTTCTAAAACAATGCAGGAGTTTCACGGATTGAGGGCGGTACCGCTACAACATGTGGTTCTCGACTTAGCGCCGCGCACATTCGTTCATACAATGTGCAAGGTTTTCGTGGAATCCCACGATCAGCGTACCAGAATTTGTTTTTTGGAAGGATTGAGGACTGTGCGGGTGCAACAATTACGTTGATTCGCGGTGTTGAATAGAATCCTGTGAATGGCGTTCTGGCACGATCAAGGATCGCCAAGTCGCAACAATCAGGTTGATCCGTGGCGTCGGGATCCAGAGAACACTGTTTTGGCATGCTTCAAGGTGTTTCAACGGTTGTCTTCCAACGAGGTAGTTCCCTCAGTGGACATGAACCGTTATAGGGGCCTATGAAGAAGAGCTTGGAGGGAGGGTGCATTCCAACATCGTTGATGGCCTTTGGGTTTACACTGGTCCTCCTCCTCCTCCTTTTCCTCCTCCTCCTCCTCCTCCTCCTCCTCCCACCTGGAGCCTCCGCGCTCCCTCCACCTCAGGTCCGACAGCCCACCGTCGCCGCCCGTGCGCGAACGCCCCATCGCTGGGGAAGCGCCGCTGGCCGGGCTGCTGGCCGGGCGGGCCCGCCGGCCGGCCGGGCCGGCCTGTGACGAAGCCGACGGCCTCCTGGGGGACCATCAGCATCGTCAGGTCCCCGTCGTCGTAGTCCTCGACACGACACGCGGCGGCGCTGCTCGGAGAGCACCGTGGGCGTGGGCTCGGCCCTCCGCGGCTTGCCCGGAGAGCACCGGTGCGGAGAGCGGCTCGTACCGCTCGCGCTGGAGCACCGGGGCTTGCTCTGCACGGGGAGGCCGCGCTCGCGAAGCCGGAGGAGGCGAAGAAGCTCAAGTTGGAGGCGGACAGGCAGGCGAATGCGCTGTACGAGGGGCCCTCCTCCCTGGCCCGCTCCGCGCACCCCGCTCGGCGGCGTCTCCTTGGCCCGGAAGGTGCCGCGCAGGTGCCCCCCTCTCGACGCGCTCGTGCCGGCAGCTCTCGGCGCACCTCCCGCTCCGCGGACTTCAGGCTGACCCTGACGGTGCTGCCGAGGGCCCCGAGGGCGCCGAGGGTGAGCCCGGCGAATTGCAAAAAGAGGTCGACTGACCACGTGCAGGTCGCCCTGCGATCCGTGCGCGCGTGCGCGGAGGGGAGGAGGGGTAGAGGGGTGGGGGGTTGGGCGGAGACGGGGCAGAGGGCGGATCGGGGAGGAGATGAGCAGCATCAGCAGCAAGATCAGGAGCAGAGAGAGACCGTGGGAGAGGAACCCTGGGCCGTGGTTGCGCAACCTCGACGGCGCCACATCAGGACAGGTTCCGCCCGGGCTGAGGATTCCACCCCCCACCCTCGGCCCCTCCAGCCCTTCCCCGCACCCACACTCTTCCCACAAATCCATAGTTCCCTGCTTCCCTCACCCGATCCTCCCTCCACACCTTCTCCCCCCCGCTTCCCATCTCCTCTCTCCCTCCTCCCCCCACATGCCTCCCTCCTCCCTTTCTTCTCGACAGCCCTGGCACCTGCATGCCACCCGCCCCACCATCCCGCCTTCCCCTTCCGTCCCTCCTCCCACCTCCTGCCCCACCTCTCCTCTGTCACCTTCCATAGCCATGTTGGCTCAAGCACTTCCGGATCACGTCCGTAGCGGGAGGCTCAGCACAAGAGCAGTGGCATAGGGAGAGACGGCCCCTCCTCTTTCGCCAGGTTCCATGGCACACTTCCTTCTTCACTCTACCGCATCTGGGGCGCCCCCACCGCTCGCAGCCCTCTGGCTCGCGCGGACGGGCAAGGATGCCAGAAGCTACGCCTCTTGCAGCGCGTGCAGGTGCAGGCGGAACTCCTCCAACCTGACGCCCTGCTTCAGTTGCAGGGCCACCCTGGCCCCCAAGGTAGGGAAACGAACTCTATACACCGACGCTTTTTCCGACCCTGCGCTGAAATTCGCACAAGAACGCGGATCCTGGTGTGTACGGGATCCTGGTGTATACATTTGTCGTTGTTTCCCTGGGGAAACGGGGGAAACGTATGCACTACACCACCCCGACGTCGTCCCCGACCTTCACAAAGTCGTGGGATCGAAACAACAACCCGCCACTGGTAATGTATATGCTCCAGTTTGCGAGGACATGTCATGGCGAAACGCTCAGGGTGCCTGGGCGCGTGGCCGAGGACCTCAGCGTGCGGCCGAGCCTCCGCGGCCACCTCCGGGCGAGTGGCAGTCGAGGGTCTCCCCCGCCAGCGGCGGAGCCTCCCCGGAGGCCCTCGCCGCCCCCGCGCGCGGAGGAGGGCCGGTCGACGGAGGGCCTGCCGGGTCAGCTCCGTGAGCGGCTCGGCCCAGCGGGTGCAGGCTCAGAGGAGCTCGAGGCTATCGAGGGCGTGCTCGGTCCCAACGCTGCGGCGGCCACGGGCCCTCCCCAGATGCAGCTCCTTGTAAGGCGGCAGTATCGGCCAAGGGGTTAGTGTAAAGATAGAAAACAGAACAAAAAAGAGAAAAACACGGAGTAACAAAGAATAAAGCAGTATCGGCCAAGGGGATTGCCTGCCGCCACCCACATCCACACACGGGTTCATCCTCAGGCCAGAGTAAGTCGCGTGCAATGGCCACTGTTTTTTTTTCGCTGCCAGTGCGTGTCTCGATTTCCATGTCGGCAGCGTGACGTCGTGGCCAGACACGCCAGTAGGCCCGCATGCTGCCTCAGTCGTTGCTTTTTGAAGGGCCTCGCGGGCCAAGCACAGGTATATAAGACAATCACCCAGTCCGAGTTCCCACTGGTCGATCTCGACGAAGAGGCACCCCTCCAACCAACGACTTGACCTGCCCTGATATTCCTGCACTTCCTCCAGAGCGGCAGACGAGGTCCTGTGCCGTAGCGATGACCTGTCACAAGACGTTAAGGGGGTTGTCAGCTTCGCTTGGTCACCTTGAAAGCCGCCTGGGGGCAGGATCTGCACGCGCGGTCGAATGCAACGACCCAAAAAAGATGGCTGTCATTTAAGCGTCTCGCGCTATTTAACATGAAAGAAGACGGCCCCTGGGATCACATCCGAGAGACCGCTAGTCGCTGAGACAAGCTGCTCCCCCATGCGATGCAGAGGAGGGCCCTCAAAAGCATGCGCTCAGGAGATGTGGTTGACCTGCTAGACGAACCTGAGTACAGGGTTGCAGTGGTTAATTTGATCCAAAGCGGAGTTGGACGGCAGAGTTGCTGCCGAACCTGCGCATCGGTACTCGAAGGGTCCCAACAATCCAGCCCCTGGGCTAGCCAAAGATGCTAAAGCACGTTCCCGATTCCGCTTGTAAAGCAAGACGCCCTAGAGCAACTGTTACAGGACTGGTTGCCGACCTGGTGCAAGCCAGATATGGAGGAGGAGGCGCAATCTTGGACGTGGGGAGATTAGCGGAAGAGACGAACCGCACGACATGCAACGCATCACAGCGCAAGATGTCCGTGAAACGGCCCTCACCTTTTCTCCCTCAACAGGATTTGGTTGGGGCGCGTTCCACCCTCGCCTCCTGCTTCAACTCCCTGACTGCATGGTTGAACCCTTCGCGGACATTCCCAACGGATTGGAAGCTGACCCACACACTGGCCATATGTGGCCTTTCGCGGCCGCTTGCCTATTCGAAAACAAGTCCTCGTCGGGAGTGAGACCGATAGGGCCTCCCGCCCACGGGCCCGAATTTGGAGCGGGATCAGACATCGAGCTTGCGTCAAGTGGAAGCTCAAGCTTCAAGCAGTGTTTGTTCTGGGGCAGTGGCGCCAGCACAGCATGCGACAAGTGCTCGCGGCGCTCGCGGAGTCCAAGGGCTGGGCTTCGGGCGCTCTCCTGGACCTCAAGCGGTTCTACGAGAGCATCACGCACGCTGAGCTCAGGGAAGCTGCGCTCCACGGCAAGCTCCCCTCGGGCTCCCGAGGGCCCTCCGCTGCCTCTACAGAGCCCCCAGCAGAGTTTCGCGGCAAGGCGCCATCAGCATCTCAACGGGCAGCACTATGGCAACGTCACCTGCTCACCACGATAGCAGGGTGGCCAAGCTATTGCCAGTCGGAGTGCTCCGCTCAACTGCGTCCCCATTTCAGGCGGCCCACCTAAAACATGTGATCGATGACGTGTCTTTTCGTGCTGTGGGAGGAGCCGCCGTCGTGGCGAGAGAGCTGGCTTCCGCCTTTCCAGTAGGGTATCGAATACATCATTGCTTTACCCCAGACATGATTTTCTCATCGAACCTACGGACAATGTGCATACAGCTCGAAGGTATTCGGAGCACTCTTCATTATGATCGTATACTCGACTGAAACATCCATGTCGGGGTACATCAACTCTGGAGCCGATCCCCTACTCGAGCCTTCAGCATTGAGACGGGCGATGTGCACAGCAAAGGCCTCCCCATCTCGTGGCCGACGGCCGGGGCCCTTGCCCCGTCGGACACACTGGCCGCGGCTCCGGCGTCGGAGCGCGGTCTGACCAGGACGGAGCGGGCCTGGGCCCACGGGGACCTGCGCAAAGGGGGGGTGGGGGGGGGGCGCCACTGACGGTGCCACGAGGCGCGCTTCAACCCACCGTGCCGGGTTGTTGGCTGCCACGGCCAGGGCGGCCAGAACCGCTCACCTCCGCGAGGCCGAAACCAAACTGCTGGGGTCTTCAGCGCTGGGCCGACGGCCCAGGCCCTCCGGGGGGCCCTCGCCGACGGACAGCTCGAGTCGCTCCGCGTCGCCGCGGCCAAAGCATACGCAGCTGACGGCCGACGCGGTCAAAGACCCTGCGAGGGCTCTCCGCCCCCCTTGGCACTTCAGGAGGGCCACGTTTTGTTCTGCGACGGCTCGGCTTTCGAGTTCAAATTTCCCTCGGTATGAGTGGCAGGGACACAAGATCAATCTGTCGCGGGGAAATAAAACAGGGCTAGGATCGGGATAAATCGCTCCAGAGCGTTCCGGAGCGCTCTCAGAGCGTTCCGGAACGCTCTGGAGCGGCCGCGGCGCCCAATACATCCTCCAAACCCGCCGATTCTCAGAGATTTCGAGTTATCCCGACCCGATTTTGTCCTGATCTTCGCGTCGTTTTAGGAAGGGCTGCCAGGGAGGACGCGCAAGTCGCGCAGCGGCGCCCCCGGAAGGCACTTTGGTAGGGTGGGCGCCGGGCCTGCTCGTGGGCGGCGGCGGCGGCGGTGGTGGCGACATCGGCGACGTCGGCGTCGTCGTCGTCGGCGTCTTCGTTTGGGGTCGTCCTCGCCGAGCTCTTTTCCAGCGGCAGACACATATTGTTGCGTCGCTATGAGGGTCGCCACCCATGATGTTTCGCACAATGTTCTTGGATGATGGTGTGGAGCCGTGCCCCCGAGCACGCTGCCGTCCCGGGCGGCAGGAGACGGCGAGGACGTTGCTGTTCACGTGGCCCGCGGTGTCAGCGGCCAACCCCAGGGCGCATCTCTGGAAACAGTCCTCTCGGGTTGGAGGCCTACCTGGGGCAGAGTTCAAGAGAGTGCCAGCACATGCGCCCACGTACGATGTACCCGAGAGCAAGCTCACTGATGTCGAAAGAACTGGCAGCCACAAGGCCGATACCCTGGCCAAGAGGGGCGCGTCCAAAATCAGGTTGCCTCAAGATGACATCATGCCCTTGAGAATTGTGGTTGGCTCTAGCGAGGGCAGCCGTGACGTTCCTCGGTCAGTCGGAGGCGT